ACGGCGGTCTCGTAAGTTTTCGTAATATTACAGAACGTAAGTTTACGCAATATTACGCCCTATTAAATTTACTGATGTGAAGTCTTAACTCCTAACTAAAGACGTATGCGCTTTTTCAATGTTAATCATCCATTTGAGGTTTCAACGGAAGAGTTTGATAAGGACTGGTGGCCTCTTGTATCAAATGTTTAAACTGGATATAGCTACAAAAATAATGTTAACGGTGATTCTTGGAAAGTATTTGCTTGTTGTTTTTATAAGCATAATAAATCAAGCACCTGGAAGGAAGATATTTCACATAACAAACATCGTATAATAAAAGTTCAGCCAGATAATATGTGTTTCACAAAAATCAAGGTCCAATGTTATGCTTTTAAAAAGAAAGTAAGAATCGAATGGTTTAAAGATTCACCTGATCATTCATATTCTCTAGAGGAAAGTGAAAAACTCAAGCGTTCAAATTTTGTTCGAGATTTAATTGTACAAGAAGCTTCAAAGAATTATCGACCACCAGAAACCTTAAGTGCAATAAAGGAGTATGCAACTGAAAATCTGGATTTAGGAGAAAGTGTAAAAGAGTTGAGACAGAGAGAGGTTGCAAATATAAAATATAAAGTTTGCAGGTCTCTTGATGTATATCTTTTTGGTAATCCTAATCAAGAATTAGATATTCAGAATGCCATTTTCTTTTTGAAAGAATAAGAATACTTGGTTGAGTTTTATGAAACTTCCTACTGGTCTACCTACGGTTTCATTTTTATACACCTGAACTAACTTAAAAACCTTGAGTAATATGGCTGGTTAACCCTTATAGATTCTACACACAAGACCAATAAATATGATTGCCGCTTGTTCACCTTGTACATTCGCAATTATTATGGATGTTGGAATGTTGGAGTTCATTTCTTCGTAAGTAATGAAGATAGTGATACTATTGCACAAGGCTTGAAAATAATTAGGCGATTTACACGTAATTGGAGTCTAAGATATTTTCTTTTTAACCAAAGTAATATAGAATCAAACAGCATCAAAATGGCTTTTCCGGGTCTTGAAAATGACGAACAAGAGTGTGATGTTTTTTTTGTACAGTCCATGTCATGCGAACTTGGATGAGGAAGATTTATAATAAAAAGACACAACAGAAAATGATTCATGTTATGCATAAAAGGACTAGAATCGGTTGTGAAGATCTTATTTTACAAGTAATCAATGAATGCTCAAATCCAACTATCAAACAATATATTTTAAGAAACTATGTAAGAAATACACATTAATGGGCATTATAGGCGTGACAACATTCTCCTCTTCTTTTACAGGTCATCTCAACAAATGCTTTAGAGTTCTATCATAGTGAATTAAAGAGAACGACCTCCTTACAATATGGTTTAATTGGTAAGTATATATTTTATTACAATTTTTATATTATTACATTATAATTTTTAATAATTAATCAAACTTTAACAAAATCTATTAGGTGCATGTTATAAGATAGTTAAACTTGATAATAAAAAGTATTCTGATTCAGAACACGTTGCCTATGAATTTTGCATTAAAAAAATTTCAGCTGTTGGTGATTCTTCAGGAAATTCATAAATTTCCATTTCCTGTTCAACAAATGCTCATTAATGAATGTTGTGCTGTTGAAGGATGATTAGAAAAAGGCAAAGAAGCATCAGGTCTTACAACTTTAAGTTGTAATTGTTTATTTTTTCACCGGTACTTATTACCTTGCCGCCATATATTTCATGAAAGTATGTATGGTTTTACAAAACTTTTAACATCTGATGTGTGGGAGAAGTTTCAGCAGATGTTTGATGAGGTTGGATTTGACATATATATGCATCGAGAATTGGTTGATTTGAAGGTACCTATGATAACCAAAGTTGAGAAGGAAATGGAAAATCAACGGTTAGCTGTAGGTAAATTAACGGAAAGAATGCGTGATGTATATTGGAGGGTTGAAGAAAGAGGTGATATAGAACAAACTGGTGCATTTATCAATGAATTAAAAGATCGTTTAGGACCAATTTTAAATAGAGAAAATTAATAAATTTATTATTATTATATATATTGTATTGTTCCATAATGATTCTGTGATTTTTTCTAATTATTTTTTGATTACATAAAAAACTGTTTTATGATAATAAAAATATTCGTATCATTGGCTCTCATTATGGTGGCTTGGGAAAAATAAACTATGCGCGTTATGCATTTTATTTATTGTTATTCACGTGACTTATTCGATCTTCCGACGTGCTCCGCCGAAAATGCAAAAAGTGTTAAAAATTGCCTCAATAGTGCGAAAAGTGCGATGCATGTGTTATGCAAAATTAATGCGTTATTATGCAAATGCACGAATCCTTAAAAATAAATTTTTTAATTTGATAGTATATATACCCCCAAAAATTTATTTGCTATAAAGCCTCAAACCTAATAACTTGCAGTCCTTTTCAGATAAAATGGATGAATATTTCGATCGTAAGTCCTCTGAATGGTCCATTCGAGATTTCTTGAATGAATGCGAAGTAGAGCCACTCAAAAGAAAAATAGACTCTTATATCAAGTGCCTTGGGAAGATTGTGAATAGTGGGGAAGGAAAAGGAGTGAAAAAGCACAAGAGCTACTCAATAGATATAAAGAGGCGAGTGTATTAAGACTTTTTTTTGTTAAAAGGAGAGAATAGGTGGCGTGGCGAGGACCTGTTAGCTCCTCTGTCATTCAAAACTGCTAGTTGAGCCACGAAGCTGGTGTTAGGGCACAGGCAACCTGCTAGCTTGTCTGTTGTTCAAGACTGCTAGTCGACTTAACACCAGCCCCATTAGGCACAGGCAACCTGCTAGCTTGTCTGTTGTTCAAGACTGTTAGTCGACTCAATGGGATGGAATGGAAAATCTGATGGAACCAAGTGTGCTACTTGAATATATTGTTAATTTCCAAATCCTCTATTCTAGGGTGGTAAGCCGGATCGTCAACAAGCGAAAGAATGGGATGAAGAGCGCCATAAGCGTAGATCAACCTCGGTTCACTTTCACAATCCATCATTTGGGATTATGACTATTAACGGTGGAGCTGGAACTATTGAAGGTGGAACTTTTGCTGGATTGTCCATATCAAAGAAAAGAAACCAAGGAGATGGCCAAAAAGATCTAGAACAGGCAAGTCCCTACGTCATGCTCAGTTATATGGCTATGCAAAGACCCTTCTTAATCATTGATTCTTTCTTCTTCAAGAATTCTCGCAAGCGAAATAAATTAATAAGCAACGATCAGATTAACGAAGATCAAGGACAATCATCATCAAATGATGACGAATCTGATGTTGAACCAATTGATGTGACGAAGGAAATTGAAGATCTCTCTCAGGCATTGTGTCTTTTATTACCTTCTTTTTGTACTATATAGCACTTATGCTTACCCCTGTCTATCTCTTAGGACGAAATAGAAATTCGAAACAAGTTACTCAAAATCTTGGTTGCCCGCCAAGAAAAAGACACAAAGTCCGGGAAAATTTTTATGACGTCAATCCATCTTAATGGAATATTGGATTTTTCTGAAAACGTAATGCATGAGAAGATAAAAAAGTCTTTGGATATTGGTCAATTTACTTGGCTTGAAGGAGTTCTTCGAAGAAAGACTTGGAATCCGATTCCCGAATTTTCGCAGTATATTAACCAATTTACTGAGGATGAATGTACCCGAGCTAAAATTCCAACAATCATTCGCAAGTCCTGTATTATCGGAAGATTTGATCCTAGCTACTATGAGGCACATGATGTTGCCCAGCAAATACTAACACACTTGTAAGTATTTTTTTATGTTAGCCAATTCTTCACATTTCTTCACATCAACATGATTACTTACAGTCTTAACATTTACGAATAGCTCCGTCCGCCTTGAAGCACCAATTAGGGTTGAATCAAAAAGCCTTGATCTTGAAAGAACATATGCTATAGACACTACCGTGTACATTTTAAATCGACTGTTCAGAATGCATCAGGATGTGTTGGATGTCGGATGGTAAGTGTCAATTATAAAATTTTAAATGTTTAACAATCATACCCACCAATTCTTTATTTATTTCATTTAGGATCGAGTTAACTACTCCTGACACAAAACAACACAAGATTGACGGAATTTTCAAGGCAATTAAGACAACGCAAAAAAGTCAAGCCATAATTATTGTAGAGTTTTCATTCGCTAGAAATGCACCTGAAGCAAAAGAAAATGGTGACCAGATCAAACTATGTCGAAATTCCATGCGAATTTTGAATAAGGTATTATTACAAGGTGTACCTAAGGACAAAGCACGTGTTTATTTAATACAAGCTGTCAGTGAGTATTGAAGTTAGGTGTCAGGTGATAGAAAAATCCAAATATTAACGTATATTATATTTTCCTGTAGATGGTTACATAATTATTAAGTATTTAGTTCGACCTTTACCATCAATATACATACTTCAACAATTTATATGTATAAAAATACCTGTATCATTTGACGATTTTGAGCAGTTTGCGAAAGATATGGCGGACTTGATGAGTTGGCAGGTAACGATTGAAATGAATATTCATCAACATTCTTATTAAATACTAATAATAAAGACTTTTGCTATTACAGGCAGATGTCCTGTCAACAATTAAAGGAATAAATAAATCCACAACTAAAGATAACCATGTTCATACGACAACAGTACAGGATACACCGGCAAAGTCAAAGAAAGCGGAAGAACATAAGCCTTCGTTTCCTAAGTCTCCATGTCCTGGTGGATCACCTTCAAAACTACCATCATTAATTTAAATTCTCTTTATGACATAGCATATATTTTTTTTTTCCATATAATACTGATTTGTTAGCATTACATTGTAATTGCATCCAAATAAAAATAATAATGATGTATTGCGAAATAGTTATCCGGAATGTGATATAAAAAGTTGATTGGTAAAAGTGATCGGCGTTACAATTTGTAACGCGCACGTGATTTTTTTTTTAACAATGTTCATCAACCGGATATTTTTCTGTGCTGTCGAAGGCAACTGATCACAAATAAAAAAGGTAAAGTCATCGGAAAAATTAGAATATTCGGGCTATGTTAATGCTAATCGCTGATTTAATAGATCATATAACGATCTATTGCATCATCGGGGAAAATGTACCCAAAAAAATTATGCTAATCACTTATTTAGTTAGCTTGTGGGCAGTGTTGAGAAAAAATTCGTCCTGACACTCCTTACAGATCAGGCAGACCTGGAAGACATCTGTGTGTCCGAGTTGATTTTGGTTTCTAAAGAAATCTTTTCCTCTAGATCTTACTAAAGAGATCTCTCGAGAGCCAAGAATGGGGAAGATTTTGTGTAAAGTAGTAGAAGGGAAGATTGCTTTAGCAACCCAGCATGTTCACCCAATCATCAATCACTTTTGAAATTAGTGTTGTAATATATCAAGGCTGAAAAAATATAATGATAAATATAATGATTAATCGAATAATGGTTTAGCTACTGCGCAAAATCCAATTGGTTGATCATCTTGTGATTTGAGTTGCCGGGGAGCTAAGGTGATACCTGTAATACAAATTTTGTGTATACGAGTAGCATCAGAGTATAGGATTATTGATAATATTTTTTTTAACCCTGATCCACCGATTAATTCTTGAGCGTGCTCCCACCATATTCCAGTTCATTGTTCTCTATAAACATATTCACATTGCCTATTATTACCAATAGTATAATCTGCCAGAAATTCCCATTGACAAGTTTTTAAAATATCATTATTAGATAATAATTCTTTAATGGCATCAAAGATAGGACAATGGTGAAGATAATATATCTCATCTTCATATTCCAAGACTTTTGTTCTAAGATATACCAAATGTTCAATATTCATAGAATTAACAAAATCACGCCCTTCTATTGTATTCTTTGGTAAAACGACATCTTTTCGAAGATAATATTTGTTAAATCACTTTAACACATCATTTCCAGCTGAATCTGAAAGATGATGTATTGATACAAGCTCCATACTCATTATATGCTGTATCTGGAAAGGATGGAAGACTTTGAGATGAATTAGTTCTAGTATCGATTAAAGTTACTTGCTCTGTTTGTTCTGGAAAATACAAATTATAATTATGACTTCTAGCTTCAGATGCTTCTTCAACATCATCTATATCACTATTATTTATATTGCTTCCATCATATATATCATCTTTATTTTCATCTTCGTCTTCATGTACATCATTATCACCTTCATATATACCATCTTCTTCGCATACATAATCATCATCTTCATAAATATCATCATCTTCATCTACACCATCATCTCTTTCACGTATATCATCATCTTTGTAAATATCATCATCTTCTTTGCATATGGGAGCGTTTCCAGTAAAATCACATTACGGATCATATGATTTACTATGCCTCATAACTTGATTTTACTGGAAACGTTCCCATATATTATTTTCTTCACATATATCATTATCATCATTTTCAAATATATTATTTTCTTTATATATATTTTCGTCTTCTTTTTCACGTATATCATCATCTTCACATATATCAACATCTTCTTCATACACATTATCATTTACATCAAAATCATCTTCTTCTTATCGTGATAGAAAGACGTAATTGGTTGTACAATACGATCAACATATAAAAAGGAATATTGTTTTTAAGAAAATAAATATATACTGTTTCTTCAACTTTATTTTTATTAGAAATGGTTGAAATTCTGTTTAATGTTTCCCAATAGGCATGGCCTTTGTGTGATTTCATATGTTCACAGAGGATTGCACAGCCTAAAAAAGTTCTCTCGCAATCATTATATGAATAAGTAAACATTTACGAGTTAAATTAAAACAATTGAACATTAAGTTTTAAGATACAATATATGTATATTATTGTTATATATTTATTTATTATTAAATAGCTTAAATAAACTTTTTACTGGTAAGTAACTTAAATAAACTATTTAAACTACGAATATAAACGTATAAAATATAAAGTATATTTTTTCATATAATACTTTCACAATGTCATCAACAAGACGATCAAAATGCGAAAGGAATAACCAAAATAACACCAATACTTCTATTTCTACCAGTAAATCTACGAAACCTTTATCTATTAAAGAAGTATTTAGTTCTATGATAATAAAAGAAGCTACCGCTCCTTAAAATTCATTTAAAGTAAAACAATTAACATAAGACGTGTGTTAGTAAATGTGTGATGAAGCGGTGAACGTGATGAGCGATAATATGATTATAACGCATTTTAATTATTATAGAATAAAAACGCACAAAAAGACTTTAATCATAATAAAAATACATTAACCATTGATGTTCCTTTAAATTCACCCGTTCCTTATATATAAATTCCTGAAGATAACAATATTACAATTTCAAAAAAAAAGGTGTGATTTTTTATTTTTCTAATTTTCAATACATTATTTGATGCTAACAATTTTAACAGCAAATTGTAAAATAAAAAAGAGTATCAATGATAAAGAATATATCATCTGAAGCTCTATCAACATCTAAAGTGGCTTTTACATTAACATCAACATCCAAGGCAGCTTCTGTATTTACATCTAAGGTAGCTTCCGCATCAACATCTAAGGCAGCTTTTGTATTCACATCTAAAGTGACTTTCACATCAACATCTAAGGCAACTTCTGTATTCACGTCCAAGACAGCTTCTACTTCAACATCTAAAGCAGCTTCTGCTTTAACATCCAGGTCAGCTTTCACATTTATTACAATCCATAAGTAAATATTATAAATTTATTTAATTATAATTTTCTGATCTGTATTAATAATATATCATAATAAAAGATTTAGAAGAGACTAATACTAAGCGTAAGAGGATAAATAATCTTAGTGATTCACTAAAGAAATGTAAGATATTTTTAATAAAACATTATATTTATTAAAATGAAGTAATTTTAATTAGCATTACATTTTCCTTCTATTTAGGTTTCAAACTTGATGTAAATGCTCAATCTATTCTCGATAAAATACTTGAAGAACAGTTAAAGTAAAGTATAATGATTGATACTTTGCAATATGAAATTTCTGAAAATCGCAAGCTTTTAGAAAATATCAAAAATGTTCTCACAACATTTGCATCAGGGTCATTGACCATGATGAATGAAAAACAGCCAAAACAACAGTTAAAGAGAAAAGATACGAAATATATATGATGCGATATAAGTATTTAAGCGTTATAATAATTTTTTGTGTATTCTTTATAATAATTCTATTATATTTGTTCTATTATATTTATTTTAGGCACCTATAACGGAAGCATGTTACCAATTGTTTCAAGAAAACAAAAACCCATTGGATATGGATATCGAGCAAGCTTCTAAACAACAAGTTCAAACTAACTATTCTCAGAAAATGCAAGAGCTTGCTAATTTGGATGGGTGGGATAATTTCTGAAATGCTGAACATTCCATTATATGTTTTTATTAATTACATGATTTAGGATAATATATGACAATCGTGACATTTTTAATTTTTATTAATCATATGAATTAAGGCATTAGAATACTTTCGAAATCTCAGAAGTTTATGTGTTCGCAAACTAAAAGATATTACTTATATCTTTTTAAATTTATTTTCTGATAAGCTTAGTCAATTTGCTAGCTCTGAAGAAGTTAGATCTTGGAAAGAATCCTAAAGAGTCAAACAAGCAAGAAATAATCTCAAAAATAAAGTTGATAATGATAATCCAGATTCTCCTTATATAATCGAAGCCATCTTACAAAAAACATTCACCAAAGAAGAATTACAACATAAGGATAACATTATATTTAGTATAACTGTAATTTTAATGTTCTTAGATCCATCATATAATCAAGCTGAAATTTCAGCATTAAAGGTACAGGAGCGTATGAAACAATGGAATTCAGATCCATTTATATGAAGCTTAGTAGGTTTTGTAAAATTAATGTTAATATTTACTTAATATTTTTATTAATATTTTTATTTTAGTTTGAATATAATGATAAAGAACAATCAGAAGATTTATCTAATCAAAAGAGTAATAATTCAAATGAATATTATGAAAATACGGATAGCAATAATAATAATGAAGAAAGTGATAATTCTAGCGACAATAATAAAGATAATTGATTAATTTCTTAATTTGCATTTGCGTTATATAAATAAATAATAATATAATACAAAAATGCTATAATACATATAAATTTACATATTGTTTTATGCATGTTAACTGGTATGCAAAAGGCAATGTCTGATCTATAAACCCATATTGCCAAACTAGAACGATTCCAATTATCTCTTCCTTCACCAATTACACTCATCCCAACTCCTAGCATTTCTGAACCTTCCATCACCTCTCATAATGTTTTATCTTCTGGTTCTAACAAACATACTTGAATCACTTCCTCCTCCTCTGATGAAAACAATATTTCTATCCCCAAATCAATTGATCCTAAAGTCCAGGCTTATATGGATGAACAAAAAGCCATTATTTCTGAATAACAGTCTCAGATGCAAGAAATGATAGCTCAACTCATAGCCTTGACATCCCAAGCTCAGCAATAATTTTCTCCCTTCCTCTAAATATACAATAATGATTACTACAAATAATAATAATCACATTCATATTAATCATAATATGTTTTCATCCCCTACCATTTCTTTCGTAACACATAATATCAAATTCCTTCAATGTGAACACAAAAATATTTCAATTTATAACACCTTCCTTTATATAAATACAGATTTTGTTAGATTATAAGAAACATGACACAAATCTGATCAAGCATATCGCTGTTCACGTGATCCTAATTATCTTTCCTTTTGAAGCACTCCCATTAATACACGAGCTGGTGTTAGTCTTCTAGTTAAACATAATTGGGTCAAGTATATTCAATGCTCTTTTTTATCGAATAACAGATTCATTTTTTTAGATCTTTTCTTACCTGGCCATACTAAACTTAGAGTTTTTAATATCTATCTACATGCCTTAATGATCAATCTACATGACTTAAATTGTACAAACTTATTCTTGATCACATTAAAGATAGACTAAAAACAATTTCAAATTAATAATCCTTGGTGACTTTAATGCTGACCTTAATAAATATTGGTCTTACATAGAAAATAGAACTACTCTTCTCTAGAAATATGGATTTATGATAAACTCTTTGTCCTTAATTTTCTAGATTTATATGACGTTTGTCATGACTCACCCTAACCTACTTTCCATCACACGTTATTCCAATCTAGAATTGATACTATATTTGCCTCATCTATACTAATTTCTGACTTTCTTTATTCTGATATTGAATTACTTGAACTCTACTCCTCTGATCACAAAATTGTTTATGCTCACTTTGCTGATATCAAAAAACCCAACTCAGCTAGTTCTAGATTAAATCAAAATAAGCGCTAAGTTCCCAACCTCAGAGCCATGAATTCAACCAAATGGAACAAATTCACAGATCACACAGATTTTCTTTATAATAATCAAAATCTCCAATGACTCAAAGATCTTCTACCTTCACTCTCAAATATGAATATTTTATGGACTGAAATCAAAACTGCTACTTTGACCTCTAACAGAAAATGTATACCACAGTTTTGGATCTCTCCTGTAGATAAAAATGCTCTATTTTATGAATCATCTGATGCTACAGTCACTACAAAACAAATCAACTCTATCCTTATAAAATTTAGAATTAAATTTATCCAACATCAGCAATAGTCAAAAGATAAATGTTGGACTGACATTATTGATACTATGTCAAAAATCACATAAAAATTTGATCTCCACTCTTTTGATTTTCCTGCATCTATTGATCAATATAACATTTTTGCCATTAAAGCATATCTAAAAGATATGTACAAGACATTACTTAGTTATGCTAAAATAGAATTGTAAAAATTAAAAAAATTATCTATTAAACAATGCATTGATCAAAGATGTGACAACTTATTCACCAACCCTTTTAAATGATTGATTCAATCCTAAATAGAAAGAAAAGATCGATTATTATAGATAGACTTTTGATTGACATTTCTAACTCTAATGATAAATACTTTTCCATTGATCCTACTGAGATTAAAAATGCAGCTATCAATCACTTTCAAAATTATGCCTTACTAACTGAAGCTGAACGCCCCCTCAATACCAGATGGACAACCAATATTAACTACAAGATCACATTGATTCTAATATATATATTAACCTAATGCAATCCCCAACATATGACAAATGGATTTCAACTTTACATGGCCTCCCTAACAACAAAACCACAGGCCTATCAGGCATATCAAATGAAATGATATCCCATTTAGAAAATCGTCTTCAACATCTACTTTGGCAATTAATTTGTAGGTGAATTTCTAATGAATGGAAAATAGCACACATCTATCCTATTCCAAAACCTATGGATTGGAATTGTGATATAACTAAAACCAGACCAATTACACTTCTGGAAATAACTTGTAAAGGTTTTGTAAAAATTATTAATAATAGATTATCCAAAATCCTAGCTAAATACAACATATTAAGAAGAAGAAACTTTGCATGGTTGCCTGGAAGGTCTACTAAACCACCCATTAAAATTATGAATATGCTATTAGAAAACACAATAGAAAATAAAAAAGACATTTGGATTCTCCTTCAGGATCTCTCCAAAGCTTATGATAGAGTGGATTTCAAATTTCTTAAACTTGCTCTTCAGAGAATTAAACTCCTTATGTTAGCCTCAAATCTAATCATCAATCTTTTTACTGCTCACAAGAATGCTATCTTGACTTCTGATGGTATCTCCTCTTATTATGATGTTAAAATTGGTATTGATCAGGGAAAAGTCATTTCACCACTCTTATGGTGTATTTATTTAGATCCTCTCCTATGTGAAATCAATTCTCTTAACAAAGGCTACACCATAAACCATACATGGATCTCTAATATTACTGACAACTCAACTACCACCTTTTCTGAATCCGTATCTTCATTGGCCTTTATAGATGATACTAATTGGATTACTAATAGCCAAATAGATTTAGAATTCATCTTCGATGTAGCTGATGACTTTTATAATTTAACTAGAACTGCCTTGAACAAAGATAAATCCAAGCTTCTCATTACCAATTTCACATCATCTTCTCCTGTTAATCTTCGCTTTGGATCTTCACATATAGACATTACACTTGAAACTGAATCTGTTCGTTTTTTTAGGAGTATAGATTAATAGTCAACGTTCACAATCCTTTGTCAAAAATCAAATCAGACAAGATATTAATAAATTTGTTAATTCCATAAAATATAAGCCAGTAACTGACAAACAAATGGCTTACATCATTAATATGGTCCTCTGCTCTTTACTTGAATATCGTATGCAAATTACTCCCTTATCTAAAAATAAATGTGATATTTTATTTGCTCCCATTAGATCCCTGTTCAAATCAAAACTTCACTTCTCTTCCACTCTTCCTATAGTCCTCCTACACCTTAAATATTTTTATAACCTTAACAATCTTTGGTCACTTCAAACCCAATCAATTTCTACTGCTCTTCTAAACCAGTTCAATAATAATACACTTTATAAGAACATTTTAACTATTAGACTATTTCAATTACAATCGCTTAATAAGTTAGCTACTTCACCTTTGGATCACTGGCACCATCCATTTAGTAGTAAATTATACAAAAATTTAATTGGTGCCTCTCTAAGTCTAATTAGTCATAGCTCCCAAAAATTTTCATGTATATGCTCTTCTACTCTTACAAATTAGATTGTTGGAGGAACTACTTCACTTTACAAAATCATTCCTTTTAATGTTTTCATCCGTCATCATTACATACTAAAAAAGTATAATCTCTTCTATTTAGATTAGCTTACATCATTTACAGAACATCATCTTATTACTTGGGCTGACTTTTATATAGAGATTTTAATCATTCTACTACAAAAATACGTCATTCAACATTTATACCCCTTTTAGAATCTTTTGTATTAGAAAATCCCTCAGATACACTTCTTAAAGAGGAATACTTTCTAGATTATCTTCCCAACTATCTCAATCTAGCTAAACTTATAATACTAGCAAACAGAAAGAAAGAATTCGTTTCTATCTGGGATCCATCTAACATCACACTTATTTTTGGTCAAATTGTAAGTAAAAATAATAGGCCTGATGAGTTCATCATTCAACATTACATCTACTCCTCTAAGAATAACATTGGAAGGCTTTTTAAATGTGACGGTTGTAATAGAGTTCTATCAACTCCATATTATGACTTCTGTAATTTTACTATAGCAAAACACAGAGTTATCCAAGTTCTAATTACACCAAAATCCACTAAAACAGTATCTCATCAACTTAGACATACCTTGCATGAAATCACTAGAGTTGCACAATCTCATTCTATTTGTATCACTCCTCCTTTTCTTAAGATTTTATTGAACAAATTTTCCCTAATTCCTTATATCATAATCAACTGTGATCTATTAATTCAGAAGTTTCTACCTGTAAATTTTTATCATTTTACACAGACGGTTCTCTCTTTGCTTCAAAAACTGATCAATGTAAAATGGGTATTGGCTGGATCTGTCATATTGATTTAAATTCACAATTAATGTTCAATGTTTCCATTAAGTATTAGCTGAGCTGAAATCTTCGCTATTCTCTCAGCTTTAGTTATCTTCCCCAAATACTCAACTATACAGATCTATACTGATAGTCAAGCTACCATTCATAGCTTTCACTCTCATATTACTCAACAATCATTTTCTATAAGAACTAAAGAAAAATCAGCCAATTACACATTATAGTATCTCATTCAATATATAATGGAATCTTCTGAACTCCAAGTTAATCTTCACAAAGTTAAAGCTCATAATGGGGACTCCTTTAATGATATGACTAACTCACTAGCTAAAGCTGGTCGTGATCTTCTTTCTTTATCTCCTTTTCTTGTTCATATTCCTAGATTATCTTTAATTCTCGCTTTTAATAATATTCCTATTGAATCTTCTATTCGTCAATTTTTCAAGAATCTTTTCTCAGCTTCCAACTTCTCAGCTTTTTTAGATCTTAATAGGAATGATCACATTAATACTCATAGTGATTTTCACTGGCCTCTTATTTGGCAA